GATCTTTGTTGCAGTTATAACCTTAGCACCTACTGAAGTTCAGGTGCAGACCTACAAAGTTTGGATTTATCCAGCTGTGCCTGGCTTGGGTCTGGCTGCTGTGCTTAGCTCCTTCTTGCTGCTGCCCTTGGGGGTGAAACTGTTGTGCTCCTCTGGCAAGATGTTCTGCTCCTGGACTAGCTGGGTGGTTCTGTCCCCTACTCTTTCTGCAGGGATTGCAGCTGCAGGGTGTCACCCCAGGCCTGCATGCCAGGCCTGAGCTGAGTCTGGAAGGGACAAGGTATTGTAGAGGGGAGAGGTAGCTCTCCCACACACTCACCGGGCCTGGACTAGGACTGGATCTGGGGGTTTCGGAACGCGGCAGAAATTCCTACTCTGTGGGCGGGGTGTGAGGGGGTACTACACAGTGATGGGGCATGTCCCAAGAGGGTGAAAGAGGGTGTCACCCATGCTGCACCTGGGCTGGGACCAGTAAGTCACGCCAGCACAGGGTAGCCAGAAGCTCTCCCACACACTCACCGGGCCTGGGCAAGGACTGGATCTGGGAGTTCCCAGAACATGCAGAAATTCCTATGGGGCAGGTGTGGTTGGGGAGGTGCTGCAGAGTGGTGGGGGTTGTCCCAAGAGGGTTGAAGAGGGTCTTACCCACGCTGCGCCTGGTCTGGGACCAGTAGGTCCTGCCAGTGCAGGGTAGCTGGATGCTTTCTCAACCACTCACTGGGGGCGGGGGGATAGCTCAGTAGAATAACACTTGCCTGGCAAGCACAAGGGCCTGAGTTCAATCCCCGGTTCCACCAAAAAAAAGAAAAAAGAAACCAAACACTCACTGGGCCTGGGCTAGGGCTAGGACTGGGTCTGGGGGTTCCTGGAACACGGCACAAATTCCTACTCGGCGGGCGAGGTAGGGGTAGTGCTTCGGAGTGGTAGGGGGCATCCCAAGAGGATGGAAGAGGGTCTCACCCACGCTGTTCCTGGGCTGGAACCAGTAGGTCCCGTGAGCGCAGGGTAGTGGGAAGTTCTCCCACATACCCTAAAATTTTTTTCTTTTTATAATTTTCTTTTCTTCATATTCTATAAAGACTTAAAGTTTAACATATCAACACTTGATGGAAAATACCTGTTCCATGTTTTGTCTAAGATGTTTGATATTCAGACAGATAGTGTGCTTTAGCTTAACTGCCTATGTTGGAGGGTAATAAGCTTCTCTTCTGCAGGGTTAACAACTTAAGTTTGCAGACCAAAAATTAGAGAAAAAGAAGGGCTACAAGGACAGCCAACATTTTTCCCTAGCCTTTCAAGGTCAGTGAGGATTCAGGACATAGGAGAACCTGTACTGTAACATCATGTAACTCAGTTGTGTCCTACATTTTCTGATCAAGGAGGTTATGGGGCCACAGAGGAAAATGATCGATGATGTAGTGTACCTAAGAGGAGTCACATGGAGAGAAAACATTCTCTCAGGCCTTCACAGAGAGCAAATTGGTCAAGCAATGGCCGTGACTCATCTACATGGCTGACACTGACATAGAGTCTACAAACTGCGGTACAGGGTTTTAGGGTAAATCCTGAGGGGATTTGACTGACCTTGTCAGATACAAAAATTACATTTCTTGTTATATAGGTCTTAACCATCCACCAGAAAAGTATGAAATCGAAGTATAAAAGTAAAGCCATATTAATAGACTATGCTGTAAAAGGCTCAAGTCAGCAACTTCTGACGTTGCCAGTCCTATGGAAAACCCACTACAGTTATGGACTACTAGACTATATTGGAATATTTTGCTGAATTTATGCACTTACAATATTTGTATGACAATAGAATACCCTTCTCTGACAAAACAAACAAAAATGGGGATACAAATGAAGGACCATTTTGTATCTGTATATTCAAAATACAATAGATATGCAGGTACTTTCTATTAATTCAGTGAATAGAAAGATTTTTTCTAATAGTGTTTGTGGATAGGATATCATGTCTGCATTTTGTAGTATGAATAACCACTAAGACAACAATATGCAATTTATTAATTATTGAAACTGTCCTAATCAGTTTTGAAACTGTCTCATTGCTATTTCTCAATAAAATTTATATAAAAATAAATAAATTTTTATTTACTTATTTGGTATAGAGTCTTACTACTCAGCTTGGACTCATAGTGATCTTCCTGTCTCAGCCTCCACAGCTCTGGAGTTACAGACATGTGCCATCATACCTGGTTTCAGGGCCAGCCCGGCATGTAGTACCAGGGATTGAACTCAGATCCTGAGCTTGCCAGGCAAGCAGTTAGATTACTGAGCTATCTCCCCAACGCAATGCATATATGCTTTAAGTAGGCTCATTTTATGCTATGTGAATTGTATCTCACAATGAGATACAATGGACTGCTTAGCAAGATTCTGTCTAAAGGATGCCCATATGCCTACCTCCACACTTCCCCACTAAAACCAAAATGTACATTCTTCAAAAATCAATTGGTTTATGTAGAGATAACTTGGTTATAATTGTTCTTTACCTTAATAAATATGTTATTTTTTTATAATAAAAGGTTAAAATGCTAAGTAACATGTTGCTTATTTAAAGCTGATTTGAATAAAACTTAGGACTGATTATATTTATCAGTTTGAGTTACACTAAAAGTTTATTTGTAACTGTTAGTCCCAACCTATCTCCTTGCTATTCTGTTCTTTGATTTAATAAAGGTAGTTGTGGTGTTATGGACAAATCTTGGCCTTAGGAGGCCAAGAGACCAGAGTAAACACAGGTGTTCCACTGTGGTCTTGGACAAATTATATCATTTCTTAAAAGTATCAGTTTGTAAATGTTAAGATGACATTCATACTTAGTTTGAAAAATCTGGGGTTTTCTTCCTAGCATTTATTAGAAATACGGAGTTCTCACTAGGAAAAATAAGTTAGGTTCTTTCCTTGTTTCAATGTATTTGTTCACATCAATACTTAAGTTTTTGCAAGGTTTCTGGTTTCTACAGTTAATTCCAGTTTAGTATATTTTGTAATTTATAACTTTTAAAATTAGTATTGCTTATAAAAGGGCAAAAATAATTTATATTTTTATAGTGAGTTAATAATACAGTTGCTGTTAAGGCTGGGGAGATAGCTCGGCAGCCTATGTACCTGCCTGGCAAGTGCAAGGACCTGGTTTCAATTCCCAGTCCCACATGCCATGTTGGCCCCCAAACCCTGGGTACACAGTGCTGGCCTCCCAGCCAGACATAGTGGCCCATGCCTGTTATCTCCACACTGAGGAGGCTGAGACAAGAGAATCACTGCTGCATAGTGAGACCTTGTATCAAATAAATAAATAAATAATAAAAAGATTTAACGTTGCTTTTAGGGAAATCAGCTGTACAGTAATTACAACTGCTCTCACATACTGCATTACTTAGTGGCTGATATGTGACAAATACTTTTTTTTACAAATATATTTTTATGGCTCACTTAAGTAATATGGAATAGGATTCAGTTTTATTTTCTTTTTAGCATGATAGCTACATGATCTTAATACATTAACCATTCCTTAATTGCAGAGATCCTACATATTTTGATGAAAATTGGCTAAACCGAATCAAAACTGAAGTGGGAGATAATTGGAGGCTGAAGGTATTTCTTGTTGTTTTTCTGTCTTTAAATACTTTGTGTATATAATTGCTGGATTTTTATCTAACATGTCTAGTGAACTTTAGAAACAGCCCATGCATGGTGAAATCATGTGAAATTGAAGAAATAGAGATAAGCGAAATTGATCATTAAATGCAACATAAGTAAGACAGTAAAGCAATATGTGAAGTCATGAGCCTTGGAGCCAGAGTACCTCTGTCCACATCAGAGCTCTCTCCTTTATTCTCTGTGGGGGACTACTTAACCTTTACATACCTCAGTTTTAAAGGATTGCTAAGTGTTAATCATAATAAAGGATCTGTGGCCCCATAAAATGCACCTTACACCAAAGCATACAATCGTAAACCTTGGAGATTAAAAAGATCTTGAAATTTTCACAAATGGACAAGGATAGAAATTAACAAGATAGAAATCCTCATGAAAAGCTGAAGCTCTTGAAAGAGCACCACTGAAATCCACAGAACAATGTAGTAAAGACTTTTAAATACTGGGATTTTCCAACTGAAATTCCACAACCAGTTTAACTTAAGGAAGAAGTAAGATTGTTTTCAAATGTACAAAGCATGAAAATATTACCTATCATTTACTCTTCTGAAGATAGAGAGGGAAAGTATATTCCATCAAAATAATAAAGTAAACTAGGAAAGAGAAATGATTCAGTGAAAGGAATATAAGAAAGGACAGAAAAAAAGGAATTTCCAGTGTGAAAGTGGAAGATAATAACTGGGGTGAGGAGAATCATAAATTAGAGCTCAATCTCCGGTTCCGCCAAAAAATAAAAATAAAATAAATTAGAGCTCAGCCTAGGCAACTTATATAATTCAGTTTCCATGTTGTAGAATGAGAATTATAATGGGGTCTGGTCTACCACACAAAAATAAGAGTTATAATATATTTACAGTAGTTACAGTATATGTATTAGTTGCTAGTACTGTTATCAGTGAAAATATATTTATGATGATAATATTTTTATATTAAACTTTTTATTTATGTTTGCCTTTTACCCTATTATTTCTCTTTTTAAACAGATTAGCAATTTAAAGAAAATTTTGAAAGGAATCCTGGATTACAATCATGAGGTAAGGATTTTTTTTCTTATTGTATTTGAAATTTATGGGATAAGTTTCAAGTTAAGAAAGAATTGCCTTCAAAAATGTATAGTTTGTCTTGTTTTGTACAGTTCGTAGGATCTTTGTATAGGCATCTGTTAGGTGATGAGTAGATGAGCAACTCGTTCATTATATTATGGGTATTTTGTTGATGATCACTACTTTGTGTTAGATTGTGCTTTGTGCTTACTATTAATTTTCTCCATTTATCCCTTACTTCTGAGGGGAGAGCCTGTGTACCATTAAAGTCAACTGCAATGACTACTCCCACTTTATCTTTTGGCACAACCCTGGCCCTGGAGCTTAACTTTATCCTTTTCACACTGCATCAGAAGAGTCGAACTCCTGGGGAAAAGTTCAGAGAGTAGAGAAACTGATTTTAGTTAGTTAGTTCGTTCTGGGGCTTGAACCCAAGATCTTGTAATTCTTCTGAATTACATTCTGAGCCCTTTTTCTGTTTTTAATTTTGAGGTGGGCTGGGGTTTGGGGGGGTCATTACATTCCCAGTCTTTTTAAATTTTGAGACAGGGTCTTGCTAGGTCTCTTAAATTGCCCTGAACTGCAACCTCCCAGAGTGCTGGGATTACAGGTCTGTGCTGCCATGGCTGGCTAAATACTTGCTAGATTTAGTTTTAAGAAAATTTTCTTACATATAAATATATGTATTTTACTTATTCTTCCCACATCGATTTCTAGTTTGCTTTCTTTCATAAAATTCCTGCTCAGTCTTTGAGCCTACCTCATTGATTCTTAATTATCTAACCTCTCTTGCTTTTTTAGTGGGGGGAGATAGAGTCTCACTATGTAGTTCAGGCTGACCTCTAACTCACTGTGATCCTCCTGATTGTTGGCTTACAGGTGTGCACTAGCATGCCCTGCTCTTTTTTTCCTCTTATGTTTTGCTCTATGATAGTAATGTATCTTTTCTCCATCTTGCTCATTAAAGCTTCCAGTTTTGCTAAATCAATCATTTTTTTGATTCGTAAGAGCTCTTTTTTGTTTTCTGAAGGGAACTTTCATATATTCTTTTTTTTTGGTGGAACTAGGGATTGAACTCAGACCATTGCACTTGCCAGGGAAGCGCTTATTCCACTGAGCCATCTCCCGGCTCTCATATATTCTTGTATTATGGATATACTGTTTTGTATTTGAGAATATTAAAGAGGCTTCTTTTTTACTTTCATACTTTATTTCTAAATTCATTCTGTCTTCCTAGTGAATATCATTATTAGAATTTTTATATATCCTTCTAGAGATTATTTCTACTCAAGACAGAAATTAGTCATGTAGCACATGCCTGTAATCCCAGTACTGTGATAAGCACAGGTAGAATTATAGATTAGAGCCTAGGCCAAGCAATTTAGCAACACTTTTTCTCTGCAGTATACAGCCACATACCTGTAATCCCACCATTGAGGGAGGCTAAGGCAGAAAGATTGCAAGTTCAGAGACAGTCTAGACAGTTTAGTGAGACTCTTATTTTAGAATAAAAAATTGAGAAGGGTTATGGATGTACCTTACTGGTAGACTACCTTGGATTCTGTTCCCAAGACTGCAAAAAGGATGGCACAGGAGATGCAGCTCCGTCCAAAGGAACTGAGTTTAATTCCCTTAAAGCACAAAAACATGATTCAATTTAATCTGAGTTGATGGTATATTCCTATTCATTTATTCAGTTTATTTTCCCATTATTATATAACATAAAATCCATATCCTTAATGTAATTCACAAGGACCAAAATGATCTGCCCCCGTACCCCTAGTTTGACCTCTTCTACCCTAGCCATGCAGATCTTGGTTGTTGCTAAAAGTTAATCAAGTACACTCCTATCATGAGGACTACTCTGGGGTAATCTTGTGGTATATTTTCCCCTGATGTATCGCTGTATGGTTTGCTTCTTCATTCTAGATCAGCAGGGGTTTTTTTTGGGGGGAGGGTATAGGGCACTTGTTTGTTTTGTTTACTTGATTGCTTTTGGTGCTGGGGGTGGAGCCCAGAGCCTCACAAGTGCCAAGCATATGTTTACCATTAAGCTTTACCTCCAGCCCCAGTGCTCTTTTTATCTTATTATAAGAGGCCTTCCTTGATCACCTAGAGTAGCAGACTTCCTTCCCACAACCCACATCACCATTTCACTATAAAATAAAGACACATTCAGTAAAGTTCATGATGTATATATATTCAGTTTAATGGTTATGTCATGTGACATGGATCTGTGGGACATTGTCACCATCTTTGAAGGTCAGTCTGTCTACCTTTCTATTTATAACCTCTTTTGTCACCTCCTAGACCAGAAAAACCTATAATCCTGAGTTTTTAAGTAACCTTTCTGTAGGGTTTTGCTTTTTTATTTTCGTCTACTTCTTGTACTGTTTGCTTTCCTGTGACTTCATTTTTGTCTTTTTTTCACATGGAAGACTTCTCTCAAATGTCTTAATACTTGGGTTGTTTGTTGATATTTACAAAGTACTATATAAACTTGATTAAAACCTGAGTTGAGGGTTTTGGTTTTTTTTTTTTAATACTATTAAATTTCACTTTGAGGTTGTCAGGCAGAGATCTTTCCCTTTGCTTGCATATGTCATTTTATTTGGGGCCAGTTTCCCTGTAAAAGAATCTTACATCCTTGCTGATATCATACTTTGCTACCAGTGTTTTGGGAATCAAATGGAATGAAAATGACTAGGAAAAATCTTACACTTGGCATGAATTTTTGTTTACTCAGCTCTTTCTGTTGTCCCTTAGTTAAAAACCTTCTTCTTTTAGTTTATCAGAAAGCAGATGTGCAGTCCTCCTTAGTGCAGTAGAGGAATTAGTAGTGCACAGTTTCTGTGCTTATCTGGCAGGGGAGATACCATGATCACAAAGTAGTGCACAGTGTCTTTCTCAGTGTACATATAACATAAAAGATTGGGAACTAAGTTGCTGTGATTGCAGATAGTTATAACTTAGGTATGGAAATTGGGAGTGAAATTGGCAGAACAGCTCTGTCCTTGGCAGTGAGTTTTTGGTGATAACAAACTAATCCAAATATTTTATTTGTTCTATAAAAGCAAATGCAGTTGTAATCTTTTTGTCTTCATTCAGATTTTGGGACAGCAGATTAATGACTTTACGCTTCCTGACGTAAACCTTATTGGAGAGCATTCTGATGCAGCAGAGCTTGGGAGGATGCTTCAACTTATTTTAGGCTGTGCTGTGAATTGTGAACAAAAACAAGGTAATTTTGCAGTACTGAAGGAAAGTAATATGTATCTTATATATAAAGCACCAATATAAGCAGTAACATCTTTCTAATCCTTCCCATTTTCTAGTTTGCTACTAATTTGTTGCAACTATGAGTTTTGCAAATTAGAATCAGTTTTAAAAAATAAAAAAAAAATTTTAAAAATAGAATCAATTTCATTGTGGTGATAATTTTTTCGCTTTCCACAAGACCACATAATTCTTTGAGTAGATTATTTCAGTACTGTGGTGCTGCTAGGGATGAAACCCAGGGCCCTGTGCATGCTTAGCACTTACTCCACCATGCATTTGCACCCTTGCCCAAGCATATTTTTTGTTATGCATTTTAACTACACCCAGGTTTGATAAAAAGGTACTGTTGATTGGACAAGGTTTGTTATTTTGCAACAAATGAACAGAAATGTACCCCAGTTCATTGGGTATTCAGGTCTGCTTTCCTAACGTATATCTAGCATAGATTCCTTACGTAATTTTTTTAAAAAAATGTATATTGAAACATTTACAAGTTTGTCTTTATTATAGGAAAAGAAGAGGGAGCATTAGTCATTATATGTAGATTCTAAATAAAATAGATTTGTAATTAGGTTTCCCACCCCTAAATCTGGTAGCTGTTCTTCCATAAGAAACCACTTTCTCAGTTAAATTTTTCTTTTCTTTTTTTTTAATGTGGTACCAGGGATCAAACTCAGGACCTTGCTCTTGCCAGTCAGGTGCTTAAGCCACTGAGCTATCTCCCAAGCCCTCTCAGTTAAATTTTAAATATTACCTTTAATTATCTTTGAAAGGAGAGAATTCTATTACGTATTTTCAATATTTTTTTCATTTCACTTATTCATAATTATAAAACTTTTAAATATACAAAATATTTCTCTTTTTCTCTCTTTTTTTTTTCGTTCTCCATTACTGGGGATTGATCTCAGGTGCTTCATACATCCTTGGCTTTTTAAATTTTCAGATGGGATCTCACTAAGTTTTCTAAGCTGGCCTCAAACTTGTGATGATAGATCCTCTTGCCTCAGCCTCCTGAGACTACAGGTGTGCACCACTGCACCTAGAAGGATATTTCATATTGACATGCTCTGAAGAAAAAGCCTTGAAATTGAAGGACTTTTGAAGATTTGTTTTTACAAAGATGAACAAAGACTATCAAAATAAATTAGTGATTTTCCTGTGTTATCTCAATGTTAGATCTTACTAACCATGTAAATCTGAATTATCATCTTTTATTTTCCCTTGTTTCCTTTGTGCTGTGATCTAAAATATCCAGCTTTGTTTCCAGAACTAAATTGATCCAGTGTATTATATCATTATTAGTATTATGTAAATACTGATTGATTTACTAATTCAGTTTGTAAAATTGCAGTTCAGGAAGTAATTGTGTCCTTGATTTTTAAGGCAGCGGATGTACTGCCTAATCAACTGTGTCGAGAAGTGGTTCCATTCTCACAGTTGTGGAAGACATGGGACAAATTATTCATTCTCTGTGTTTTAATTTTTCAGTTTAAAAAAAAAAAAACATTTAGCACCTATCTCATGGGTACTAAATGAGGTATTTATGTAAAATAGTACAATTCCTTACATAATAATGATTCAAGGCCAGCCAGATAGCTCAGCTGACTAAAGCACCTGCCTAGGCAGAGCGCAGTGGCTGGGATTCAATCCATGGCATGCCATGCTGGTCCCACCCCCAGGGTGTGTTGAGAAGTCAACTGAAACTGAGTGTAATGGCACGCCCCTGTAATCCCAGCACTTGGGAGGCTGAAAACAGGAGAATTGCTACAAGTCCAATCTGTGTAGTGAGACCCTGTAAACCCTGTAGACCCTATCCTAAATACATTTTTTAAAAAAAGATTCAAACTAAGTTATATGGAAACGTAATTATATAGTATCTTAAATCATTGATTTTAGTTCCGTTTTATACTGTGTGTTCTGTGAACTTTTAATTATGTCAGATTTTATAGTTACCTAGTGATTCATAAAATTGTATTTAAAAAAAATAAATGGAAAAGCATTTTATAAATGTGTAGATGTAAATTAATAAAATCACTAGCTTAGATTTAGAGAAGGCTATTCTTAAATACAGACCTTATTAGAAAAGTATGGAACTTTTTTTTTTTTTTTACTGTTTTGTTTTTGTGTTTTTGTGTGGTTGGTTGGTTGGTTGGTTGGTTCTGTGGGTTGAACCCAGGACCTTTGCACTGAGCTATTTCCCACCTTTTTTTTTTTTTTTTTGAGATGAGTTTGACTAAGTCATCAAGCAATGCTGAGTTCAAAGTTTCCATCTTCCTGCCTCAGACTTCCAGAGTACTGGAGAAAAATATAGTACTTTCATGTATAATAGCAAATCCAAAGCAACAGATTTGCATTTTGTTGAAGTTACCTAAAGGCTAGCGTACATACATAGATAATGTAATTATTATATCTGTTTAAAATTTCTTCCAAAGTGCTCATTTAATTGTGTGTATGTGTGTAAGCATTGTGTGTTTGTGTTACTGAATATTGAACCAAGGACCTTATCATGGAGCTACATTCCTGTCCCCCTTCCCTTTTTTTTACATTGACTGGGCTTGAACTTGTGATCTTCCTGCCTTAGCCTTCATTTAATCTTACTTAGCTTTTCTGTCCCCTCTATTGACCTGTACGCTCATTTGGATGGAGATCACTTGATTTATAAAAACACTGTTCAAATTTGTTACATATTATTTTACTTCAAATTTTTTCCCTTTCCTCTCTGTTTTATTTTATAAATATTTATTGAAGTGATTAGAGTCTAGGGGAGCATAATACTTGCCCTAGTGGAACTTGAGGGAGGCAAAAGGCATTAAGTAATAATATAAATACACATATAACCAGGGTAATGGTAAGTGCTCTGGAAGTGTCTCAGTTGCTCTTGTCACTGAGGTATAAGCACATACAACTTAGAGGAGGAAAGGTTTAGATTGGACTCTAGTTTGTAAACAGTTTAGTTCATACTTGGCTGGCTGCAAGGCAGGACTCCATGGCAGAGGACGTGGCTTAGAGGCGGCTCATGGCAGGGCAGCAGGAAGTGGAGAGAAGGATCAAGGGAGGGGAAGGTTGACTTCCAGGCTACACCCCCACTGGCCCATGTCCTTCAACCAGGCTTGGCCTCCCACATCACATTTAACTGTAAATTCATCAGGGGACTAATCCCGATACCCCCGTTTATCCAATCACTTCCCAGAAGCTTCACCTAGGAATACATGAGGCTTTGGGGGGGCAAGGGATATGTAGATATAAAGCATAAAGGGAAGTAATGTGTAATGGGGATTAGTCAAGACTTGTGGTACAGGAAGTTATTTAAACAGAGTTATGGGTGATAGCAGATCAAGAGTAACCCAAGTAGTGAAAACTGGATATAAGAATCTAGCTGGAGTATAATAAGGAAGGGATAAAGAGAAATGAACAGAATAGTAAGTAAGGGCTATTCTAAATGGTGACAACATAGTACACTTTTACCAGTACTTACACTGAAGAAGACTTTTTTCCCCCCACCAAAGGATTGTTTTCCCTTGATTTCCCACATACCTGCTAACACTCAGCAGATTTCCAGTATTTGTTCTTTGTTCGCTCTGATGTTCTGGTAATAAGTTTAAAGAATCAACACTGCTCTTAAAGTCATGACTAGTTTTATTGGTCTTTGGTTCAGGACTTTTTTTTTTTTTAATGATTTATCTATCTTAGACCCCATTCCTTTTAAATTTTATCATGCTTTGCTTGTATAGAAAATTTCTTTTCTTATTCATTTAGTTTAGCTCAATAATTACATAATTTTCTGTATTTATAGTCTTTGTATCTGAAATGGTTAAAAGTTTTTGTCAAAGAATAGAAGTACATAAGGAGATTTAGGAATAGTAAATTTTTTTTTTTTTTAGGAACAGTAAATCTTGAAGATACTTTCATTTAAAGATGAATGAAAAATTATAGTTCATTGATATCAGATAGCAGCTGCTTTTGTATCATGATAGGAAATGCATCAAGTTCTGAGATTTTAATATATATTACACAGAAAAGTGTAGCTATTAAGTGTTGGTTAACTTCATTTACTACAGAATATGATCGAGAAAAAAAGATGTTACCTATATCTGTGTTCCTACAAAAAGATAATCATAATATTTATTGAAGTTCTCACATAGATCACCATAGATTCACTTTACCCCTGCAATTGTATAAAAGATGAAATATCTAGTAGTGGGATTTTTAACAGCTTAGTTTTCCAGATTTAGGGTATTCTTTACTCTTAAAAATACAACTGAGAGCCAAATACGCATTTCATTGATTGTAAAGAATAAACTGTCATTGTGTTTGTGTGGTGTATAATGTAAGGCTCACTAAAGTGGCTCTGCCATTTACTACCTCAACTTTGGACAGGATGCTTTACTTTGAGTAATGGTGCTTTTATTTTGGTTGACTTCTCTAATTGGTGGAAATAAAATGGTCATAAATTTGAAAAAGCAAAGATTACTAGTGGAAGATACTCTGATAATATTTAGAATTTGCTTTTTTTTTTTTTTTTTTTTTTTTTTTTTTTTTTGTAATGGGAATCAAATTCAGGACCTTGTGCATACCAGGCAGGTGCTGTGCCACTGAGCTGTATCTCCAGCTATATTAAGTTTCTGTCTACCTCCTTTACTATACTAGTCACAATAAAAAATAATTTTTGCAAATTAAAAAGCTGAGATTCATAAACATATGACTTCCCAAGATTTCTAACTTGTGGAAAACTAGGCAAGAACAATAATGTCTCTTCCAAATTTAAATTTAAGGATGTTTGTACAAAATTTTGTAAATATTGGCCAGCTATACAATCAGGATAAACTCCTTTACATAGAATACTTCTTTTCCACCATTACCACAAATGTGGTAATCATAAATCATTGTATATTGCACTTTAGAAGTTTGTGAATTTTTTATTTAAGAAATTGCACATTATTGTAGTTGTCATCATCATTTTATCATTTCTCACTTTACGGTGTTCGCGGGGAAGGGCCTTGACGTGGCAACACCGCTTCTTGACTAACGCTTCCCCTCTCACACCTACTAACTTCTTGACCTTCTTACCTACTGTCACTTTCTGCACTTCCAGTTGGCTGTCATGAAGTCTCCCTTCCCATCATCAGTACACTGCGCTTCCCTTTCATGTCCACGGTCTCTTGTTCTGAAGGCTGGTCACTCATCCTCACTGTGCTAGTTTCTGTGTCTGATGCCTTTGAACAGAATATCTAAAAGCATAACCTTTCTGTGTTCCAACACCCACACTGCAGTTGTCATTTAAAAAGCCAAAACAAAAATATTGACCTCAAACTTAAATAATTTATTGGCCAAATAGCAGTCAAGTTATGATGTATTTCTACTATTGCTTTAAGACCAATGCCTGAGATTTAGTGTGTTGATTATATTTATTTGTGTAACCAAACATTTGGCTAGATACAAGTATCCTTATGAGAATATTTCTCTTGAAAGCATGTTTTTTATAAGCTCAAAGTTTTAGCATTAACAATCAGAGAGTCAACGTTTGATTATTTTGCAGTTGCCTTTTGTTTGTTTTAAATTTTATTTTACTGTATTATTTTGGTTGATTTGTTTTTTAGAGGAGGTTTATTTTTTGTTTTTGTTTCCGAGAACTGAACCCAGGGCTTCCAGCTTGCTAGGCAAGTGTTGTACCACTGAGTCAAATCCCCAGCCCTGAAAATTTGATGATTTTGGCATTCCACATACTATGTGTCTTATCAGGAGAATACTTCGTTAGTTTCACAATATGACCCATTTATATACTGCTTTGGAGGATCAGGAGGTATATGTGTATATATGCATGCATGTGTGTTTCAGACCTGAGGAACAGATGAGTCTGAAACTATCTTTTAAAATCTTTATTATTAAAATATTTGCCATATTGTTGGAATCATCTTGTCGTTCTGATTTTTTTAATGCTTAATACTGCTTCTGTGATCCATTGTTGGATTTGAAGGGAAAAAATTGTTTCCAATAAAGTTAACTACTGAAAGCTAAGAGGCCTTTTTCTCAGCAGTGGTGAAGATGGTTGTGCCTTAAAATGTTAAGAGATGTGGGGCTTTATTTTAAAACTCAGGATTATACAATTTTGTATTCTGTGTAAAATTCATCTTAATTTTTTGTCTTGAGCAGGTTTTATTCCATAAAGTTTTCTTTCTATAGTAGAAAACATGAACATTATATCCAAATCAGTGGTATTAAAACTTGACATTATGTCCCATAGGATAAAGCATAGAGTTTAGGGTTGTCTTTTTTTTTAATGTTTAGGAAGGCTAGTGGGAAAGATAATATTTAGAATTAGATGCAGTAGGATGGAGTCTTGCCCATCAGGCCTTTGCTCTAGTGTTGCACTAATTAACATTAATGGACACTCATACTATGCTGCCCTCCTGATCTCACCTGCAGCCTATCCTGGATATGGAATGGGACACACATCTTCAAGAAAGATAAATACTGAAAATTTCAGCCTTTACTTTATTTTGACACATAGATGAAGCACACCAACCTCACAAGGGATACCTCAAAAGAATCAAAATATAGGAAACAACATTTATAGGGCTGGGATATAGCTCAGCAGTAAAAGTGCTTGCCCAGCACTTGTGAGGCCCAGTTTAATCCCCAGTACCAAGAAAAAATTTGTGAAGTATTAGCCTTTACCCCTTTTGACTGTCTTTAACCTTAACAGTAACATTACAGATTGTTCTTATTTGCAGAGTACATCCAAGCTATTATGATGATGGAAGAATCAGTTCAACATGTTGTCATGACAGCCATTCAAGAGGTATGTTTTACATTTTGTGAAAAATGAAAAGAGTGAACATAAAGAGTTAAATAGAAGTAGGAATTAAAGAAAGCAATCTTCTCACTCATTTTCAGAGACTTTTTCTTTTCCTCTTCTCTCTTCCCCTCTTATCTCTCCTCCCTTCCCCTTGTCTGAACTCAGGCCCTTCTATGTGCTTAGCATGCTCAAACATGCTCTCTACCACTGAACTTCACCCCCAGCCCAAGAACTTTTTCTTCTACATTTATGATAGTACTTGCTTTGTTTTTTTTTTTTTTAAAGATTTATTTATTTATTTATTCATTCGATTTTTTGTGTGTGTGTGGCCAGCTCAGCCCACTAGGGGGCGGGGCTGGCTGGCATGTGGTGCTGGGGGATTGAACCACAGTCCTTGTGCTTTGCTTAGCTTAACTTGTTCTAAGTAGGTGCTCCAGACCACCGAGCCATCCCACCAGCCCTTGCTTTGTTTTTATTTTAAAAATCATAGTTATTTGAAAGTCTTGTTTTCTTTAAATATAAAACATTTGCTCTGCAGGTGTAGTTATAGCTATTCCTAATTTTTCAAGTGCTGCGAATAATTCCCAAAACTAATGAATAACACCTGTTTTAAACCAACAGCCTGTCACACATTTAACTATTAGTTTCCTGTTTAGCAAAAAAATGAATTTCCAACTCCACCCATACTTAAGCCAGTGTCTAGTTGAATATTTCAAATATAAAAACCTGAAAATACAAATAGGCAGAATAATAACTGGTCAATCTCAGGATAGTAAACCATTTTTTTTAGTCATAAAAGCAATGAAAGAAACCCTTAAAGGAAATAGAAAATTGTACATAGAGCATGAATATGTACTAGCAAAGAAAAATACAAAAGGCAATCGTGAAGATGCCAAGTGCAAGTAAATATGTGATTTTTGGCAGTCTTTTTATAGTGACTCTTCAGAGTTGTACTATGCTTCATACATAAAAGGTGCAGTCTTTACAATTGCCTTCTCTCCTGAAAGCAGGTCCAAGTTAAGTTCAGAGATCCCCAGGCCTCCCTCACATCTGACCACCTAGCTTCAAATTCAGCAGTTCCCTCTACCCCCTTAAGTTCTGCTCCAAGGAGTTTAAATTCAGAAATAGTAGTGATAGAAACAAATAGAATTAAGTGTACTTTTTGAATGTCAAGTTTTGGTTGAGTGCTGAGGTTTGAGAGCTCCCCAGATGCAAACTTTCTGTTGTTCCCTCTAGATTCAGGGCAGCACCCTCTTAGCATATCATCCTGTGAGAATACACAGTATATTGGCAGCCAGAGAAGCTTAGTTGGTCTTTGGTATCCAGAGTCTTTACTGAGATTTCATTACCTGGGCATGATTGATGGACCCTGGATATGATTAACTTTCCAGCCCCCTTCTTCCCTTGACATCAGGCTCATGTCAGGTGGCTCATCATATGACTGGTCTTTCTGGTGTGCTCCCCCCACCCCCTGAGTAATCTTCTTAGTGCACCATAAATAACAAAAGATATTCCTGTCATTAGGAAAATTGCAAAGACTTATTGACAGCCACTAACTGGGACACAAGCCAACCAAGCCAAGTTCTTTATTACATAGGACCTTTGAGAAGTTGATGAAGTTGAGTGAGTAGCATGACACTGTGTTTCTATCTCCTTTACACGGCTAACTCAAGAAGATTGCTTGAGCCTAGGAGTTAAAAACAGAACAAGATCCTGTCTCAAAAAAAGCTAAAAGTTGATGTGTTTGTCAATCAGAACTGATGTGTAAATTGTTAAATCTTTTTTGATGTATCTTTTTATATCATGTGAGATTAAGTTTGGTCACGACCATTTAATATACCACAAAGCACATAAATGGTGTGATCCTTAACAGACTAAGTGCTTGCTTACGTGAGTGCAGAGGCCAGGGTTCAAACCCTGGCACCGCATGCCACACCAGCCCTGCCCCCAAGGTGTGCTGAGCCAGTGATGGAGTCCCAGTGTGGTGGTGTGTGCCTGTAATCCCAGCACTTGAGAGGCAGCAATCAGGACGATCACTACCGAGTCTGAGCTGTGTAGTGAGACCCTGCACACACACACACACACACACACACACACACACACACACACCTTAAAAACATTAAGATGAATGCAAAAGCAGTTGGTCCAAATAGGAACTTTGCTCCAAATGGCAAAATATTCTTACTTTCTTGTTTGGGTTTTTTCATTTTAATTTTTTTTGGGGTACTGGTGATTGAACCTAGAGCTTTGTGTATGCTAAGTTAAGCACTCCATCACTGAGCATACACAGCTGCTTTTTCTATATTTTCCAATATTTCTATAATAGATATATGTATAATGGAATAATTTTTAACTTAAAAATCTGTGACTAGGTGATTTTCATCTTATGATTCTATCCCAAAGAATTACAGAATGTAGATCAAGATTGAGCATAACAATGTCTATTATTTTATATTAATAAATGTAAAAGCAATGTGTGTACTTTGGATACTTCAGCTAACAGAATACAGCTGGTTAATGATAGGGACAAATTTAAATGACAAATGAAAAAGATACAAAATTAAGCTGCCGTGGGCATGAGTATTCAAATTTGTTTTGAGCAATTGCTTTGAGGACTTTTGGATCAATGTAAATGGCTCTTGACTTACTGTGGTTTAAATTTAGGTTTTTTACTTTAGCAGCTGCATCATTCTACAGTTCCACAGCAGTGAGCTGAGCATCCTAAATTCTTCACATCTTTGCTAGCTCTTGTTATTGTCCATTTTTTATGAAAATAGCCAACCTAGCAGATTTGAGATCATATCTTATTGTTGTTTTGAATTTTATTTCCATAATGGGTAATGGTGTGGAGCATTTTTTCATGTGTTTATTAGCCATTTCTCTGGTGTCATTTTGGAGAAATTGTCTATTCAGGTAAATAATCGTCTTGTATCTACTTGAATGTTAACAAGAAAAAGCCATACATAAGAGAAAGACAGTGGTTGAAATATAAAGTAAGAGGACTGAATGAAACAGAGTCTGAGAATCTGGAAAAGTCTGAATTGAGAGCACAAGTGGCCAGATGAGCCCTGAGTGGGAAGACATCAGCAGGATGGAGAAGGAAAGGATGTGTGTGAGTGGAGCTAATCTTGTAGGTTGGGGTATAGGAGATTAAGGATACATCTCAATGGAAGCCAGATTGCCTGTTGAAGTCCTGGGGAGTGAAATGAGGTTTGCCTGGCGTGGTGACACATACCTGTAATCCCAGCATTCGGGAGACTGAGGCAGGAGGACTGTAGTGAGTTCAAGGCCAGACTGGACTACATAATGAGATCCTGTTAAAAAGAATATAAACAGATACATAATAATAATAATGCTATTATTATTATAAACTTTTAAAATAAATGAGATCTGAAAAGAAGAAAGATAGGGAAATGAAGATGGTGTGAACTGGGGAAGCACAGCTGTGGTTTGCCAGCAGCTTTAAACCTTCATGGAGACTGGACATATTTATTAATATGTCAGTTTTGTGAGGATTTTCAGGGTTTTTTTACTCTCAGTATTTACTAAGTATATGTGGCAAAAAGAGATTCATAGTTGGATTGATCTGGGATTGATATTTTGCTTGTATGATGTAGGAGGAGAGCTGAGAATATCTATGAAAGTTACTGAAACTATAGGCTGTGAAATCTAGCGTAAAGTTAACTGATTAAGCAAATGACCATAGAATTCTATAAAATAGGGAGAGGAGAGTCCCCAAAATAAGATGATGTTAGCAGAATAAAGGTAAAGACTTTAGCCAGGAATAAACAGTGCTACTTCCATAGAGTCGAAGCAAAGTGAATGGAAAACTTTAGCCAGGAAAAACCAGTGGTACTTACCTTAGAGTTGCAGCGAAGTGAATGGAAGAAGACGTTGTAGCTGGGAACAGGGAAAGCATAGAGAAGAGATAGGGCCTAGGAACTCACGGAATGAAATTGAAGAATGGGTTCATAGATAGAACCCTGTGAGAGACCTGCAGCAGGAGGAGGCTTATCCAGAGTGGGATGCTTAGGTTTTTACTGAGTGGTAGTTTCTCAGTTACATTATAAGGACCAAAAATACAACAAAGTAAAAGGGAGAAAAACCAGAAGAAAGTATTTCTACTTTCTCCTCCTTCCTGTCTCTGAATTGGATGCATTTTTTTCTGAATGTTCTTTTTTTAAATTTTATTCTGGATACTAAGCTTTTTTTAATTGGAAGAAAACTTTTGAAAATTGTATTAATGCTCTTAAAATCATAAAAACATTGAAGCTCATGTTTTCACTCATTCCAAGATTTTTTTCCCTGTAGTTGTTATTTTCCACCCTAATTATTACATTGAGTTAGAGTGATGGTCCTCAAATTAGAGTGTACCAAAACCATCTGGATGACTTCCTGAACACAGTGAGGAATAACCCTAGATGTTCTGAATTAGTAAGGCTGGGCTGGGACCAAGAATTTGAATATTTGATGAATAATTTGGCAGTGCTGCTGCTGTTGGTGTGGCAGTCTCTCATGTTGAGGACCACTGATACAGAGTAAAGGCATTCCTCAGTCGCATAGCCCTTCAGTTCTATGAGGAGCAGGGTTAAGGCCAAAATCACATTTCTGATTGTTCCTCCACCTTTTGTTCTTCACATAGAGCATCAGATAGAAACCGAAGAAGATTAGGACTTAAGTCTGCTCCAGCCTTGATCCTTAGAATTCTCAGAATTCTCTCCCAGACCATTTTGATCTTTTTTTTTTTTTGAAGTCCACGGGTAAGAGGCAAAGATTTAGGAGGTGTGTGTGCACATCTATACCCTCATCATTAATCATTAATAGCCAGATAGTTTTGACTAATGTTGATATTATCCACATTTGTTAGTTAGAAATTAGTACTTAATATTGTTATTTTTCTGTAAAGTTTTAAAAATACCTGGCCACTTTTTAACTTTGCTGTTTGTCTTTCCAGTAATAAGTTTTACTTAATTCTTAATGGAAATGAGCACCAGAAATCAGACCTTTAATTTTAGTATATATGTACATATGGATGGCTGGATGGATGTATTTGTGGTATTTGAGATCAAAAACAGAACCTTTACATTGAGCTGCGTCTCCACTCCTTTATTTTGTGACAGGCTTTTGTCACTAAGTTGCCGTGGCTGAAAACAACTGATTGTTTTGTATCACCTTCCAGAATGCTGAGATTATAGTGTAGTCCACACTGCCCAGCCAGATTTCTAAATTTTTTGTAATTAAGTTTATTGGTACATTTTAGATACATATAGCAATCATATTTATCATAGGGAATATGTTCCTATACATGACATTTTGTGATTCTTCCCACACACGCACACACACACATTTCCTTCAACCCTTCTTCCCCTCTGTATTTACAAAAGCTTTGTTTCAATTTTCTCCTTTTCTCGGTATTTTTTCTTTTCTCTTTATTCTTTGCTTTCTTCCTCCCTCTTTGGTAGTTCCCCTTTTCATTTGAACATTTTCCTTTTCACAATATCTGTCACACATTTTCAGACCATTAATTTTAAATGAAAGCATTAGCTTGGAGTGACAAAAAGGTCCAGATTCAGAAGCATTAATTTACAGGACAATATTATAATTTAACCTTAACTTTTGTATTTCAGTAATTATATAGGATGTCTTTTTTGATTCACATTTATAATTTATAATTTATTTTAATTTCAGCTAATGAGTAAAGAGTCTCCTGTGTCTTCTGGAAATGATTCATACGTTGACTTGGATCATCAGGTATTTAATTTTGCATTGTTTTTAAATGCTCAAGGAAACAACTTGTTTTTTTAAAGAATCCTGCAATGTATTTTTATGATTTTAATGTAGTTTCAAATGCCATATCTTAATAAAGTGCTATTAGTTACAGTGGTTTTTTTTTTTTTTTTTTTTTTTCATGTTCAAGCTATTCTGTGATAACAGAAATCTTTGTGTTCTTTGTCTTTTGTCACTTCTTCTTTGGGTTCCTAAATGTACTATATGAAAATCTTTGTGTGTAATTTTAGCCTAAATTTGAAATTTATCTTTCTTCTACTGTGTGGTATTTGATTTTAAAAACTGTCACTTTGATGGCTTTTTTTTTCATCTTTACAAAATTTTGGTAACATGGAGAGACAAAATTTCATTTGTTATTTTTGTTCATACTTTTCTAACTGAAGAGTTTTTAATAATAGAGAAACTTTAGAAATGTTTGATTTATATTGAGAAGTACAATAGTAGAAATCTTTTTATAAAAATGGGAGGCAGGCCAGAGAGCTCAGAGGATTAAAGTGCCTGCTTAGGCACACGAAGGGATGGGGTTCGATACCTGGCTTGCCATGGTGGCAACTGTGACTGGGCGTGCTGGCGCAGTACCTGTAATTCCATTGCTTGGGAGGCTGAAAACAGGAGAATCACTTCGAGTCCAATCTGTGTAGTGAGACCCTATAGACCCTGTATACTAAATACATTTTTTTTTGCCATAATTTTATTGAGAACAAATAGCAATGAGACAGTTTCAAATCAAATTGTTAGGACAGTTTCAATAATTAACACGTTGCATACAGTCTTCCCAGTGCTTAATTGCTGTACAAGATGCGGACATGATATCCTA